GTATCACCCCCTCTGCCTTACTAACAGTAGAAAGGGACCACCAAAGGACCACCACTAACCAGATATTTTAGGATGGTGGACCTACAAAGTGAGCCTTCCAACCAACTACATTTCTTTGATGAATCGAGGTACCTTATCTGCCCTCACAGTGTAGCCTAAAGGCCTATTTTTTGTTGTTGTTGTTTTTTTTTCTATTTAATGCTGTTGAAATTGCTTGCGAAGAGCACGGGGAAATGCAATTAGCATAAACGGTGCATTTAAACAGTAAATAAAGGAATGACATGTTAGATGCTGCCTTCTAATAAAAGGGGATGATTCTATTACTAGACTGCTTTAATGTCACTACATCTGCCCTCTTACATTTTTGTTCAATGTTCTCTTATAATCAACATAATTAAAATGTGCAATTATGTTAATGCATTTAAAAATGTAGCACATTAAATGTGAATTGAATTAATCAGACATCAGGCGCTGTAATCACTCAGTGACACTGAAAGTGACAATGAAATAACATTGATTTAATACAACGCAGATGAAAGTGCAAAAGCCTGAGCAGATAAGAGCCAGAACAGTAAACAATAACAATAATAATGATGACAATAATAATAAATGTGATATGAATGAAAATGATTTTAATGGTAATTTTATAATAATAATAATAATAATAATTATTATTATTATTATTATTATTATTATTGTGCAACAGAAACAGCAGCAGCAAGATAATAACAATATTTTTTTTTTTCGATTCACCATAGTTACAATTGTTTATATCTATAAAATGTGGAAAAAATAATGACATTTATAACAACAATCATAACATATGAATAGAACTTTATGTTATAAAGACAAATATTAATATTAACTGCTACTGATCCATTATTATCAGCAGTTGTTGTATTAAACAAAATAATAACAATTTACTATATCTAACAATTCAACGCATTTACAAAATGTTAATTATTGTTAAATATTATTATTATTATTATTATTATTATTATTGTTGTTGTTGTTGTTGTTGTTGTTGTTGTTGTGTCTGCAACATGAAGAACAAACAACAAAACAACAACAACCACAAAAACAATAATAATAATAATAATAATAATAATAATAATGCAATGGCATTCTAGGTAAAAATGCCAAAGCTTTGCAGTATTTATGGAAAACTTTTTCATTATCTATTTTTATTAAACAGTCACCTATATGTCATCGCAGACAGATAAAGAGAGAGAGAGAGAGAGAGAGAGAGAGAGAGAGAGAGAGAGAGAGAGAGAGAGAGAGAGAGGGAGGAAGGAAGGAAGATGCATAACAGACACTGGTTTTCTTTTTATCAGACCTTGGGGAGTTGGCCTGCAGTGTGAAGTCACTGCTTGTCTGAGAGAGAGAGAGAGAGAGAGAGAGAGAGAGAGAGAGAGGCAGACAGACGACAGTCTCCGCCTGTACAACCCAACAGTTACATCATCATGCCTCATTACTCCTGCTTTTTCTCCTCTCTCTCCTAATTGAACTACAGAAGACTGAGGAAAGCAATGCCCAGGAACAGTGTGAGATATTATACAGTTTAGTGTTGTAAATTCCTCTGACTATTCTTACCATTCTGTCATTTACACACTGCTTACCAGATTCTCTGTTCTCTTATCAAAGCTGTGTTTCATAGTGAAGTTAACCCAGGGCATTTTCACATATCATTCTCCTAATTCAGACCACGTCTTTCAGAAGAGATTGTGATCGTAGGAGGGAAGAGAACCCTGAGAACATTGGCTGAAGTTCTGGGTGGCGTCTACTTTAATACAGAAGTTTACTGGGCTGTGGAGCAGTAGAACTGTGTTCTCTGTAATAATGGAGCTCCATCTAAAACCCTTGTTATGAGCTGGAGTGATCCAGAACTGACCATCTGATGTTAACCTAATTAGTTGTCCATTATACTGACTCTAGAAAAGATGCACCAGTTTGATAGCAGATCATGGTGAGCCACCATGCAAAGAAAAGAACTAGTAACTCTTGTGATTCTGCATTGATCCGTGTTTGTTGCCAGTAAACAACAGGAAATTCCCTTTGAAGAGCCATCTCCTCCTAATTTTCAAGAGTGCATTAATATAACCTTATCTGTGCTCTACATATTGTCCCCATGTGACTGCCATCAGGCAGACAAGAGAGAAGCTGGATTATCCAATTACACTGACTCTAATGCCCTCAGTCTCCATTCAGACATCTGCACTACACTAGTGCACTAGCTCTCTCTCTCCTCTCCTCTCCTCTCTCTCTCTTCTCTGCTTTTCTTTTCTCTTCTCTTCTCTGCTTTTCTCTTCTCTTCTCTTCTCTTCTCTGCTTTTCTCTTCTCTTCTCTTCTCTTCTCCACTTTTCTTCTTTGCTCTGCTTTTCCTCTTCTCTTCTTTAATCTTCTCTTTTCACCCCTTCTTTCCTTTTCTCTTCTCTTCTCTTCTTTAATCTTCTCTTTTCATCCCTTCTTTCCTTTTCTCTTCTCTTCTCTTCTTATCTCTGCTTTTCTCTTCTCTTCTCTGCTTTTCTCTTCTCTTCTCTTCTTCTCTCTTCTCTTCTCCACTTTTCTTCTTTGCTCTGCTCTGCTTTTCTCTTCTCTTCTTTAATCTTCTCTTTTCATCCCTTCTTTCCTTTTCTCTTCTCTTCTCTTCTTATCTCTGCTTTTCTCTTCTCTTCTCTTCTCTTCTCTTCTCTTCTCTTCTTCTCTCTTCTCTTCTCCACTTCTTTGCTCTGCTCTTCTCTTCTCTTCTTTAATCTTCTCTTTTCATCCCTTCTTTTTTCTCTTCTCTTCTCTTCTTATCTCTGCTTTCTCTTCTCTTCTCTGCTTTTCTCTTCTCTTCTCTTCTCTCTTCTCTTCTCCACTTTTCTTCTTTGCTCTTCTCTGCTTTTCTTTTCTCTTCTCTTCTCTTCTCCACTTTTCTTCTTTGCTCTGCTCTGCTCTTCTCTTCTTTAATCTTCTCTTTTCATCCCTTCTTTCCTTTTTCTCTTCTCTTCTCTTCTCTGCTTTTCTCTTCTCTTCTCTTCTCTTCTTTAATCTTCTCTTTTCATCCCTTCTTTCCTTTTCTCTTCTCTGCTCTTCTCTTCTCTTCTCTTCTTTAATCTTCTCTTTTCATCCCTTCTTTCCTTTTCTCTTCTCTTCTCTTCTCTTCTCTTCTCTTCTCTGCTTTTCTCTTCTCTTCTCTTCTCTTCTCTTCTTTAATCTTCTCTTTTCATCCCTTCTTTCCTTTTCTCTTCTCTGCTCTTCTCTTCTCTTCTTTAATCTTCTCTTTTCATCCCTTCTTTCCTTTTCTCTTCTCTTCTCTTCTTTAATCTTCTCTTTTCACCCCTTCTTTCCTTTTCTCTTCTCTTCTTTAATTTTCTCTTCTTCTCTTTTCATCCGTTCTTTCCTTTTCTCTTCTCTCTTCTCGCCCTTCTTTCTTTTTTACTTTTCCTCTCTTTTTTATTCATCTTCTCTCTCATCTACGTTCTTTTGTACTTCACTTCTCTTCTTATCCCTTCTTTTCTTGTTACTTCTCTTCATGTTTTTCTTTTTTACTTCTCTTCTCTTTTCTTCTCTGCTCTTCTCTCATTTTCTCTTCTCTTCTTTGTCTTCTCTTCTCTTCTCTTCTTTCATTTTCACTTTTCTTCTTTCTTCTTTTTTCTCTTCTCTTCTTTAATTTTCTCTTCTCTTCTCTTCTTCTGTTCTACCTTTGTAATTTCTCCTCTCTCATCTATTGTCCTTTTTACTTCTCTTTTCATCTCTTCTTTCCTTTTCTCTTCTCTTCTTTTTATTTTTCTTTTCCGTTGAGTTCTTTCATTTTTACTTCTCTTCCCTTCTTTCCTTTTGATGTCTCTTCCTTTCTTCCCATCTTACTTGCTTTTTCTTTTGCTTTTCTCTTCTCTATTTTTCTTATCTCTTCTCTTCTCTTCTCTTTTTTTATGTCTCCTCTCTCATCTACTGTCCTTTTTACTTCTCTTTTCATCCCCTATTTCCTTTTCTCTTATCTTTGCTTCTTATTTTTCTCTTCTCTCATCTTCTTTCCTTTTACATCTCATCCCTTCTTTCTATTTTACTTGTCTTGTCTTTTGCTCTCCTCTCCTCTCCTCTCCTCTCCTCTCCTCTCCTCTCCACGGGCCGAAGTAGATTAAGTACCACGGTGACATTTAGACTGATTCTCTCTATTCTGCTGGCTGCAGAAATGGGATTTTATGGGCAGAAGCTTTCAGTGTGTGAAACTGCAATAGGATTTTACTGGTGTGTCAACAGAAGCGAGCTCCCACACTTCTTTTCAAAACAACATATTAAACAGGCCGAATATGTTTCTGAGTCCAGAAGAATGTGTGTGTGGATTTAGTTAAAGCTTGTGGCATCTGGTCAACTGTGGTCAAATACTGAGCAACGATTAATTTGATAGAGCACAGCTGATAAATTAGGCAAGACAACAGTCTATAATCATACAACTATATAGTAGGTCTATATGAAATGATATCTGGACTGGTGAAGTCATCTTATTCTGTGCAGTTCATGTAATACATCTCATTATTAGAATGTTAAATAATATTGTTATTGAGACTATTCAACCAATTTATAGACAAATGTATAGCTTTCACAGTGTTTACAGACACAATCATATGCAAAATATTGGACACCTTTGGTTAAATTACATGTTTTGTTGGTTTTCTAATTGCAAATAATTTAACACATTCTCCACAAAGGTAAACATGGTGTTTTCTGCACAATTTCTATTTATATGCTGACATAAAATATGACATGTTGCCAAATATTTGCATACATATTGCAAATATATTTGCATATATTTAGCAAATAAATAAACAGGTCAATAAAATAGCCAGTGAGTGTAATACAAGGTAGGTGTTTCTACTAAAGTGGCCAGTTAGTGAAAAAAACAAGGTCGGCATTTCTAATAAAGTGACCACTGAGTGGAAAGATAAAGTGGACAGCGAATGCATTTGTGGACAGTGTCCATTTAACTAATCTGGTATTTCTTTTCTGTCTGCAGTACTGTAAAAGCACACGGCCCTCCCCGCCACATGGAGGCTCTGTCCATGAGTCCAGTTTTGCTCAGAGTACTGCGGCTTCTGCCCATCCGAGAAGTCTGTCGACAGGAAGACACGACAGGTGAGGTTGCTTTTGCTCAGTAACTGGCCATTGACACCGTTTTGTCCATTTCTAATCTCTTCCAATCACATCAGTGCTTATTCAACTGAAATGGTGCTTTAGGTCTGGGTGCAAATTGCTAGGGACCAATCAGTGGAATGTTTTCCAGCTCTATGGCCTCGCGTGATGATAATGGCTATTGCAACGACATGCCAAAAACACCAGTACAATACGTCTCACTGTAATGCGTAGAAAGGCAGCAGAGAGAGAAATTAAATTATCTCCATGGCAGCGCAGCGTGTAATAATTGCACTTTTATTGAATGCTAAAAAGAATGATAGTAATTGTAATAGGTGATAAACATGTTAATATGAATTTCTGGTGCTAATGCTGACACGCGAGGCAGAGGAGCAGGAGATCAAGATAAATCTGAATGTGTCAGCCTCCGACCATGTGCAATCTCATTTATCGGCCCACTACAGAATTGGAATCAGTTGTGCATTAATAGATTAGATTACCTGCTTTCACACAGAGGCTGCTGGTTCCGCACAATCAAAATGCAGTTAAAGGACCCCTAAAGTCATCTTTAAACAATAAAAATAATCTTTGTTGAATAGCAAATTGTTAAATCATGTTTATGCATCGTTGTTATTCCTAACATTGGTCAACTAGCATGATCAAACTGGTCAACCAGTGTGACCAACATGACCAAACTGGTAGGCCAGCATGACCGACTGGTCAAGCAGCATGACCAAGCTGGGTGACTAGCTTGGCCAAGTTAATCATGGTGGAAGACCAGCTGCATCATCAAATTCAAATGAAAACATAAGCTGGTCAATCAGCTAAGCTGGTCTAACCAGCTGATCGACCAGCATAGGGTTTATATATGACTTGTCCAGCTGGATGTCCAGCTTGTCAACCACCTTGACCATCAAAGACCAATCTAGACCACCTGAAACCAGCTATCAGCAAAAGCATTTTTTTTTTTTTCAATAGGGAGTCCAAACAGCTCAAACATTAGCTTAGCTACGTTAGCACAGGCATGTTCTGTAGCTCTGTTTCCTGTCACCAGGTTGTAACCCACCTATGAGCATAGTTTAGTATGTCGGACTATTATAGATTCAAGCTTATTTGTGACTGCAAAGCTGCTCTGTAGCACCTCACAGATTACTTTTTTTACAGACGGTTTTCAGAAATCCTGTGTTTTCAGTGGAAAAATGTGAGCTCTGTGGGGTTAAAGGTAACAAGTAACATATGTTCAGCCCTCGGTGACCCGCTCTGTAACTTTATGTGGTTTGACACGTCGTGGCTGAGTTGCTGTGGTTCCTAAACACTTCCCCTTTTCAGTGATACCACTCACAGTTGATCTTGAAATATTTAGGAGCAGATAAATTTCATGAATTGACCTGTTGCAATGGTGGCCTCCTATTACAGTACCACAATCAAATTCAGTGAGCTCTTTAGAGTGACAGATTCTTTCACTAATGTTTGTAGGCAGACTGCAGACTTTGTAGGCTAGGCACTTTTCTCTACACTTGTGGTAATGGAACTGAATGAAACACCTTAATTCAATGATTGAGAGGCATGTTCCAATACTTTTGTCCATATAGTGAACATCATGAAATCTATTTTTGCTTGTCGCATCAAGTATTAAAGGTGAATATCCAGATTCAACTCCGCCTAATGAGGCCTCCCTTAATAAACATTCGTACAGTACTGTGGGAAGTTCGGAGACCATTTTCATTGATTTGGGTTCCAGTAACAATTGTCATTATGTGAAAATGATTAATTTTTCAGTATCAGGAAAAAATCTGAAAACAATATTATTGATATTTCAATATTTAGTGTCCACTTTTTACCTTTATTACAGCTTCTGTACTTTTCAGGGGACTCACTTTCAGTTTTTCAAAGAAGTCTGCAGCAATATTTTGCAATATTTTGTCTCAGTAAAGGCTTCTACACATCCTTTCAGACCCATAGTGTTGAACTGTCGTCTAGCAGTTGAAGCATAGACAGAAACACCTTTTTTTTCAGATCTGAAGCAAAAGTGGAGCTTGATTTTCTCAAAGATGAAAGCTTTAAGTGCTGTTTATCTGATGAGGATGGTTTTGATGGTCTGCTAGATCTTGCACAGTTTTTGGAAGTCACTTTTTTATTTGCGCAGCACTGTTTTCACTTATTTCTTTGACTTTCTCCTTCCTTATGCGAGTAGATTATCATATATCTGGTTTTGTCAGAAATATCTCCTGAAAAATGAATAATTTGTGCTTAAAGGTGACTGGAAACTAAAGTTAAGAGTGACATTTGACCTCTGCACAGTACTGTATATGCTACAGCAAGAAATATTCTAGAAAAAAGGTCATAAAGGCAACTTAATTTTAACATAAAACACAGAAAAACCTGTGAACGAAACATCACCAACAGTGTCGGGATGACAGGCTGATAAGGTTAAAGTGAAAAGGTTTTGCTTCCTGAATCAACAGCTCATGTTTTGAAAATGCCGTCCAGTATGGATTTCATGCTTCAGGGCCGTGATACTGATATTTTTCCTTTTCTTCATCATCATTTCTTTCCTTCAGCTTTGATTCGACTCACTGAGCTGATCAGAGAGCTGCAGAGCACTGCCACTCCAACAGTGAAACCTCAAAGCCTATAATATACGCTTAATTGCCTGAATGTCTGTTTATATGACTAAATGCAGCCAGCAGAACCTTTCAAAACAGACCATGAGCATAAATGAGCTCGTAAAAGCATTGATTTTGAAAAGCAGCTGGGTTTGTCAGGTGTTTTGTTCTTACCAGAAATCCATATGCACATGTTGATGACTCACAGTCTGTCCTAAATGCATCTAAAGTAACCGACTGAAGCAACACCCAGAGCAAAATATTTTAAACAGTAAGATAGCCTTGAAAATCACAGAGATGACAACTCCCATAAGATTACAGACAACAAAGCAGAAATAGGACATTGTTTGTTTACCATAAACTTGAATTATGGCATGGAAATGAGTTCATTCAAGGATGTATGGTTATATGCATTTTAAGGACAGTGTTTAGTGTGCGAGCCCCACTGGGTCTTGTTAAATATTTCTGTCCTCCATTTTTATGCTGTGCTTGTTATACTAAATAGTATTTTGCTTTGTCAGTGCAATTTCCCAAACATAAATTTAGAATTAATGCACTTTTAACAAAGTCAAAGTCAAAACTAAGGAAAGTCAAAAACAAAACTAGGAATTTCAAAAAGTAGTGGGGACATGTCCCCCAGCGTCCCCTGCATCCCCAGTGCAAATTATGCCTATGATCTTTTTTGCACTGCAAAAAATAATCAACGTTTTGATGTAAAAAAGTAACCTTCTGCCCTAAAAATTAATTCATGACACTTGTAATAGAAAGTTAACAGAAGAATAATCTGTGTTTTGCAATCTTGTATTAATTCAAGTTTAATCAATTTGAAATTTAAAGTGACATACTATTTTAAGTTAAAACACTGAATCATATTTTAATCAGGTCACTTCAAAAAATACCTGCCAAGTGTTTTAATAGGGATGCTTGATATATATTGCTGGCAAACACCAAAAAATGGTAAAATAATACAAGTTTAAAATGTTAAGATTTTCAGTCCAGTACTGGAATTACAGCAGATTGTTACAATTTCGATAATTATGATAATTTAGTACCTCATATTGTTGCTATATAAAATGAAACAATGATCCTGCTTTGAAGTTTCAACTTGTTTTGTGCTCACTGCACATTATAACTATATTATAATGTGAACTTTTTTAACCTCTTGAATCTTTATTATCTTCTTATTATTCAGTACCTACATGGACTACAGTGCATACTGGCAGAGTTCTTCTTAAGTTATAAGAGTGTGTTAGAAAAGTCTGGACCCACCAGTTGGCTCCTGGCCATGTACAGGTTACATTTAAAAATTAAAACATCAGGAACTCTTTTTTATATTGGCCACAACAAGGTCATTATTTCATTACAAATCAATAAGAAAAACCTAGGAAATCTGGTGCAAAGGAGTTTATAAGGGATGTGTATGTGTGTGTTGTGTTATATCACGTTAAAGTTTGAGAAAAGTTTGCCATTAAATTTGAAATTTTCTCGTTATCACTTTTTAATCACGTATGAAAAATAGGTAACACTTTATTTGGAATGGTCCTTTGTAGATGATTAATAAACTCTTAACAGATTATCAGTAACACATCAACAATGTATCAGTGATGTAGCAGTAGTGAAGCATCTGAATACACTGAAGTAAATATCTTGTAGATGTTCTGTTGATACTTTACTTACATTAAGTAGATGTTTTGTTAATATTTTACTTCCACTATGCAAAACCGTAACCAACCTTAACTCAACACCTAACCCTCACTCTGGCCCTAATCCTAACCTTATCCTTAACCTCAACCCAAAACCTAATCCTAAACCCTGATCCTAACATGTTTTTGAGAGTCAGTTGAGTGTTTGTTTCATCTAAAAAGTACCACTCAAAATAAAGTGTCATTGGAAAATACCTGCAAATATTAATTTAGCAAAAAGCAACAATGTGTGAATCCTTTAGGCATATTTAGCTTCAACACTCACCAACATGTTCATCAAAGTGACTTCCTTGCGGGGATTTAATAATGATTTCACACTGTTCTTTTTCCAGACTGTTGTTTAAAGCCACTAACGTAAAAGTAGGAGGGTGAGGTGGGGTAGGGGGTCATGCCCACCCCACTTTTTTTAGGTTACAAGAGATAAATTTCAAGGTCCTGGGTTGGTTGTCAAAAACATAAATAGCCTATATTATAACATATACTGTATTCCTGCATTGATGATTATAGTCTTCTGACATCATCCACCTTTACTTTTCAGACCAAGTTGGTACACCTGGTAAAAGCACATATAAACCCCTGAAGTCATGTCATCATTCTGTACTCAGTGCTGTGCCCATATTAGGAACAGCCTCATTTAACATCACCTCTATTGTTTTCCTCTAAAGTCTTTTAGTCAATATATGTACATTTGTATTACAAACAATCTCAAAAGCTGGACGTCCACAAACTTTTGACCTCAAATAGAAGTGTGGGCTAAGTGGGGAACGCAGCCAAAAAGCCATTTGTATCCATCTCATTTAATCCCCCTCTCTCAGCCTATTCATTTTAAAGCACGGGCACCAACAACCTCTTCTCTTTCTGGTGGTGTTTGTGGCTTGGTGAACCCTGGCAGCTCTGTTTTTCGATTCGTAGTTCATTTGCAGATGCTTTTCGGCCCCCCTCCCTCACCCATTGCTTGTGTCTTCAAAAGGATCATCATAGTCTGAGTGATTGCACTTGTCTCGGCTTAAGGAAGGATTTAGATATGGAGCGAATTACCGCGCTGCGGGAGACTTGGAGAAAAAAAAAAAAATCTGCCTGAATGCAGCCATTTCATTGGAGAGTCAAACATGTTCTCAATGCTGCTGCTCTGATAACTCGCTTAATCTCTATATAAGTGTGACCTTATTCACCAATATACTACTCTGCTACTCTAAACTTCATCACGAATAAGAGGAACGTGGACTGTGGCTGTTACTGATAATACAGTAGCTCTGCAGCTATCGAATATTTTCATTTTCGAATATCCCATCAAATACTCGGATACTCTGTGAAGATAAAAAAAAAAGATAAAGTTCCATTTTAACGGTTTAACAAAAGAAATTCAGCAATATGATACAAATCAGATAAGAAGCTGTTCTATAGGACATAACTTCATTACATCTGAATGAGGTTGACATGTAAACAGGGGAAACAGCATCTTTCTGATCATCATCCTAAAGTCTGGAAGCAATGATTTGAGTGAATTATTGTTAGTAAGCTAGGAAAGTGACCATATTGTAATAGCATGGTTAACTACAACCCTGTTTCCAAAAAAAAGTTGGCTGTGCAAATGTAAATGAAAACAGATGCAATGTTGTGTAAATCATTTAAGCCCTACATTTAATTGAAAACAGTACAAAGACAACATTTCAAATGTTGAAACTGAGAAATGTTATTGTTTTTTGAAAAAAATATATGCCTGTTTTGAATTTGATGCCAGGAACATGTTTCAAAAAAGTTGGTACGAGGGCCTGTTTACCACTGTGTTTCATCACCTCTTCTTTTACCAACACTCTGTAAGCGTTTGGGAACTGAGGAGACCAACTGATTTAGTTTGGAACTGAAATGTTCACATTCTTGCTTGATATAGGATTCCAGCTGCTTAACAGTTCAAGTTTTCCTTTGTCCTGTATTTCATGTTATAATGCACCAAATGATTTCAGCAGGTGACAGGTCTGGGCTGCAGGCAGGCCAGTTTAGCACCTGAACTCTTTTACTATAGAGCCATGCTGTTGTAATACATGTAATACAATTTAGGTGTTTTGGTATTGTCTTGCTGAAATAAACAAAACTTTCCCTGAAAAAGACGTCATCTGGATGGCAGCATATGTTGCTTCAAAACTTGTATATAGCATTCAGCATTAATGGTACCTTCACAAGTTCACGTCACAATTGCCATGTGCACTAATGCACCCCCATACCATCATGTATGCTGGCTTATGAACGGTGCACTGACAACAAGCTGGGTGGTCTTCAGTGTGGAGAATTCACCATCTATGGATTCCAAAAAGAATTTTAAATTTTGATTCGTCAGGCCACACGACAGTTTCCAACGTTGCCTCAGCCCATCTTAAATTACCTCAGGCCCAGAGAAGGAGGCAGCATTTCTGAAACCTGTTTAAAATGGTTTCTTCTTTGCATTTTTGAGTTTTAACTTTATTTTTGGATGCACCAACAAACTGTGTTCACAGACAGTGCTTTTCAGAAGTGTTTCTGAGCTCATTCCACTGCAGAATTTTGCCTGTTTTTACTGCAGTGCCACCTGAGAGCCTGAAATTCACAGCTAGCCAGTATTGATTTTCAGCTTTGTGCCTTGTATACTGATATTTATTCTCTGAATCATTTAATGGTATTATGTTCTATAGATGATTAAATCCACAAGTTCTTTGCTATTTTACACTGAGAAACATTATTTATAAATTGTTGCACTTTTTTCACAGTGGTAAACCTCTCCCCCATCTTTACATCTGAAAGACTCCGCCTCTTTGGAATACTCTTTTTATAAGCAATCATGTTACTGACCTGTTGCCAATTGACCACTTTTTTGTTTTAGTGTAACACAATTTTACCAGTCTTTTGTTGCCCCTGTCCTAACTTTTTTGACACATGTTGCTGGCATCAAAATTCAAAATAAGGAAATATATTGTTAAAAAGCAATACAATTTCTCAGTTTCTTTGTACTATTTTCAATTAAATATAGGGTTTAAATGATTTTCACAGCATTGCTTATACTTTTACCTACATATTGCATAGCGTCCCAACTTTTTTGGAAACTACATTGTACATCCTAAAGCTTATTGTTTGGCAATAACATGGGAAATTATGCAAATTTACTGTATTATTCAGTTATAAGAACGGAAAATGGAAATGTGGACAATCCATCACTGTTCTATAATTAACGGCAACTAATTTGAGTCTTTCCCTGTAGCTTTTGAGGTATAGCTATTAGGTTTTTATTTAGTCAATTATTATGTCTAGGGGCTTTAACATATTAAGTCTAGGGGCCCAAACTTTTGCATATGACTATAAATGAGTACATGCCAGCTTGATGACTGGAAACGTGTTTTTATTGTCCCTGATGTTAAGACTGCTAATTAATAAATTAGATCATTAAATTACTTACACAGTTTCTCCCTTTATTTTACTGGTTTTAGAGCAGTTTGCTTACTGAATTGATCTAATTTTACCAAGTATTTGTGGCAGCCATAAAGGAGTGTTTAGGAAACAGATCAGTGAGAATGAGGAGATTCAGGCCGGGGGGAACAGAAGCCCTCTCCACATAAGTGCTTTTCAAGCCCTTTTCTGTCTCGAGTGTGTCAATATACCAAGCCTGTTTTCATAAAACACACCTGCCACAGGGAGGAGTGAGAGAGAGAGAGAGAGAGAGAGAGAGAGAGAGAGAGAGAGAGAGAGAGAGAGAGACTCAGTGACAAGAGAAAGCTGGTGTGACTGAGTGGAGAATGCAGCCCTTATATGTGGATAGAGCAGCAGTGAGGCATTATAATGCTGGTCAAATGCAGCAGATGGTGACTATGCATAGATCATTTGTCAAAGAACTAAAGGGTTCAGCGCTTTGAAAAATAGCAAAGAGCTTTTGAAATCTTTATACGTATATGGGAAGGTGTTTTAAAGCTTCTCAGTACTATACTGTGCCAAAAAAATGTTTTTCATTTAACACCTTTTTCATACTAGTGTTGACATTCAATTTCTGCCTAGTTTAGAAGTCCCTCATTTGAACTATGCATTGTTTTTTACTTAAAAACCCTTGATTTAATACAGTTAAATTGAAATATATATGATTTGCAAAATAGAAAGAGAAATTTTTAGGTGAACAAACAAGCCAACATGTATCTCACCTTTGTGGAGAGGTGTCAATTGCTTTTAGCCTCGATTGCTCTCTAGCAGTTCAACACAGTCACAGCATTTCACACAAAGAGACAACCATGTCCTAATCTGATAACTGAGTTACAAGGATTTTTAATTTTTTTTTAATATCTGGGTCAATTTCCATTCTACTCGTCACTAGAAGACCTGCAGAAAAAAAAAAATCAACTGAATAATTAATTGAATGGTTAGTGTGAAAGCCAATCTACTCTCTTGATAAAACTCTACTTTTAACATTATAAAAAAGTGGTATTGGCTGCAATTTAGTTAACTTTAAATTACATCAAATGATGGCAACAGATATAATGCTATAACATTGTGGAAATGCAGTGTCCACATGAACTATACATCACATGATTTCTGTAGGGTGAATGCAGTTTCCAGTTTTCACCTCTGACAATCAGTGAGAGCATCAGCGGCTGCATGTTTCAACAAATGAGTCTATATTGTGGCATTAGTGGAAGAAGAAACACATGGTAGCCATGATTTTGCTGCTCTTTATCACATACATGAGCAGAAAGGTACATCACAGACAGTAAACCTGTAGGGGAGGTCACCACCCGCCACATGTTTCGCCCTGATGATGAGCCCCCTCACACAAAATCAACACAGCTGAACCCACACCCCAACATAGAACATCACAATAAAAACATAACTTAAAGAAACAAACAACCATACACAACAACATTTAGTCCTTTCTGAAGAGGGGACCTTCATGAGCCTTTGCGCAGCTGCTTGCATGGCCATGCCTCAAAGAGCTCCTGGAGCAGGCACCAGCAAGCAGTGGGTTGCTACAATATATCATATACAGTATATTGTATCTAAGCCTACAGTCAATAGTTCCAATTCCTCTATGATTGTAGCCTTTCGCTCTCCTTCTTACCCTCATTCTCATAGCTTGTGGATTGTTGTTAAAGCAGAGGCTCTCAAGGGGAAATTCGCTATTGCTTTTGTTAGTTTGCTGCTTATTGATTTATCCTCAGTATACATAGTGGGTTCTATACATATCTATAGTAAATTGTTGCTCTGATGTGTGTGGTTTGCAGGAGTGGCTCCCTCTCATACAGTGGTGAGCAAAGAAACAATCGCTCCACCCTCCGCCTAGCAGCCCGCAAAACCCCGCCCATACCCAGAGGACGGCTCAATCCCATTGGAGGCTCAAGAGACTCTGGGCCTGCGTACCAGCACCTGCAGGAAATAGACGGGTCAGAGAGGGAGATGGAGCCAGGAAGAGTGTGAGTGAGATGTTTTGTATAGCTCATGTATTAAGCACTCAGACTGGAAGTGGAGTTTGGACTGGCGGATGGTCCTCACCAACGCAAAAGTCACCAAATTTAACTACCTGCTGTTTGCACTCATCATCCGTTGGCAAATTTTTCATATAGCGTTTGGTCTATTGTGTTCACATAGTGTGTTCACACTAGTGCACTATCTTCGTAGTGTTCAGATACGTCTTTAAAGATTTACTTCTGGCGCTGGTCCTGAATTAAACACACATTAAGCTAAACCCAAACCTTTGCATGTGTATATTTTAACATTTGAACTTCGGCTGCTGGTCTGAAGGCCTTATTAGCTCAAACTGAGCAAGCACAAAAGATAACTTGCCCTCCAACCAGAAAGGTTAGCTGCTGGCCATGACCCTTTCTCTCTCATGACCACCCTGACTGTCCTTTGGCTCAGCCCTTGCTTCACCTCCGTAATGACAATGGCTTAAGTCCCTAAGGCCTGAAAGCAACATGTAAAATTACACATTCTCTTTGAACTTTCTGCTCTTTTTGTGTGTTAATTTACTGTGCGGAGTAAAAAAGAGCAGGCAGATTGTTTTAGCTTGTTATGCCATATAGGACTATGGAATCATAAGACTTGGACAGGCATGGGATTACACCAGCTCTTATTACTACTTTTTTCAAAGCTGCTTATGAATGTATATGTGGTGGTGGAAGACTGTGGTCTATGTTCACATGCATCTCTAAAAAAAGACTATATTGAGGTATGAATCTCTATAAGAATGGTCCAGTACACAAAGCTCTCGTATAACCAAATAATTGTACTTGATAGAGCAATCCAGTGCTGAACTATGGGCTACAACAGTGGTTCCCAGCTGTGGTCCTGGAATAGCCATGCAATGCACATTATATATTTTCCTCTGCTTTTAAGGTCCCTGTATGATCTTTCTGTGAGTTTTTTTTATTATTTTTTACTTCTTTTTTTCCCCTTAAAATTAAACAGGCTGTTACTTATGTACTCTGGTAAGCCATAATGGCAACATGACACTGTTATACTACTAAAGGAAAACTGCCATGACGTTTATGTGTTATCTAATATTGTTTTTGTGTTTTTCTGAGCAAATAAACAACTACTGCCCAACTACATAACTGTTTAAGTTCAATTTTCTCAGATACGTAAGACTTGTGAAAGTCACTGTATGCAAAAGCATTTTTGTGACATCATGAAAATAACAAATCCAGCTTCATTTGCTATTTAACCCTCTGGGGTCGATGAACACACTGACACATCAAATTAGATTTTTCTTGGTGTTTCTATTAATATCTTCATTATAATACAACACAGAAATGCGGTTCAAACATTTCCTGAATCTGTAGAGTCGCCCTTTCTATTCCATCCTATCATAAGATCATAAGTGAATCACATCCAGAGTTATAAGGCTGTGAAGATAAGTTATGATACACGCCATCTGCCTCCCACTGTGTGTAAATGGTGGATTTGTATGTCCATCATCTGCCTCTCACATTGTGAAATTGGTGGGTTCATGTGTCCATCTATCTTTTGCATGAAATTGACTGATGGATGGGAAATCATTAAGGATTTTCCCCAATTTTTTTTCGTTCAGTTGCCTCAGAAACAGACGTGAAATTGTGTTCACAGCCGCCTAAGCCGCTCAAGCGGTTTTGGAAAGTAGTGATAAGGACAACATTTATCTACTATTTCATTCATACATTCCACTACTTTTGTGATCCTAAGACTTCAGTAAACTCATTTCAAGCACCAAAACATTTTGTTCACATGAGTAAAGCTGTGTTTTCAAAAGTGAAATTAATTTCCAAAACCGGATTTAATTTTTTCAGCTTTAGGGCCAAATAATTTTTTACTCAGTGCTCCAGATCAAAACTGCCTCACTGTAGAGAGAGCTGAGATTGTTCTAAACATTTGATATATAATATCTGGGTATCATGTCGTATGCAAGAGCCTTTAAAGTCAAATTTAAGAATATATGCCAAAATCAAGAAATGCCCTCAGAACCCAGAGAGTTTATTTCCATATATGAACTTGATGTATTTTTTGAAAGTTTACATATTACATTAAACTCTTTCATTTTACAAAAAGCTCGATATTCAATTTTCCAGGATATGGACATTTTACATTCCCACTTCAGCACTAAAATATGCAGGACAAGGTTACTCCAGGGCCAGGATTGGGAACCACAGGCCTACTTATTACCAGCCCATGGACCGGGATGCCAATCGGCTTCTACAGGCCTAGTTTGAGTGCAATTGTTCTGAGGTTGTAGTGCTCTGTGGCTGTGTGTGGGCCCTGCTTGCCACTAGATCACACCGAGAACCACTACAGGGTGTCAGCACTGACCTATTTCTGGTTGTAGTCCCACAGCCTGCACAAGAATATCCCTCGCCTGAGAAAGATCCTGTTGTCATGGAGACAGGCTGGGATCGGGGAAAAGAGAGAGGAAGAGAGTGAGAGAGAGACACAGAGAGAGAAAGAGAGAAAGGAATTCAGTAGCACTGTTTTGCATATGACCAATATATATATATATATATATATTGGTAGTCTCATTCCTTGCCTGTCAAAAACCTTGCTGTTATCACTGTACAATGGCTTAAAATGGGAGCGGATTCCAAACTGCATTATTGTTGCTAGTATTTTTAGATAAAGGTGCCTGTCAGACTTTTCTGGCTTCTATCCTTTCCTTCAAGTTGGGGGGAGTTAAAGTATGAAGTCATTATTCAAATATGCTAATTCATGGCTGGCGCCCGAGCCACCCAGGCACGTACAGTGCGTTGGAGCCAGCTTCTAATAACATCCATCAGAGCTCTGCACTTGTAGCCAAATGCTGGACTGTGAGTTAGAATCATATCCCAGTGTACACTTTCTCTTCTTTGCCCCTGCCACTGTTCATTGGTGAACCATGGCTGTTAAAGCTAGGCCTTCAGTTCAGGCCATAACTGTCAAAATCAGTCAAAAACACCTCTACAATAATGCTAATTTCTGCTAGCACATCTATAGGAATTCTAATGGTACGTTAGTATGAAATTAAAACTGGTGTACGTGAAAATTCTCTTTTGTTAAAGAGTCCTGGCAAAGAGAGTTGCACTATCTGAAACCTGATTAGACTACAGTTTGTATTTACAGTCAGTGACGTATCTAGAACTTCCAGAAGGCCTTGAATGATTTTCTTTCTCACAAAATTGAACCACAGGGGATCAAAACATGATTAGTTGATTCCACACTAAGTTCCTAATTATATTGGTAGCTTATCTGATGCATTAGGCCTTCAGTTTAGCTTCTAAAGTTCGAAACAATGGGAGAAGTTACTACAGAGATAAAAAAATAAAAAATTCTGATGGGATCATTTTTCATTGGGCATTTCAAGAATTTAACCAGCCAAAACCAAAAAAGTATAACTACAATACTTGCAAAGTAATTCATTTAAATAAAAATGAACCAAAAAAAAATCAGACATGTCTTCTCTGAAGGCCTAGATGGCCCTGAGAGTTTCACTGCCTAAAACACAATAGCATACCAGTAATCCTTAAACAATCTATAATTTGGAACTGAACATGAGCAGACATGCTTATCCATGCTAGCTGTCCTGCCTTCTTCAAAACAAGCCCCCAGCAACTGCCAATTAACTTGTGGGACTGGTGCCAGCTTCACGGTGCATGTCGCATCTATTAAACTTACAGATTTGCCCTATGCTAGGCCAGCTCCACAGCTTAAAATGACTGACTTACTCCAGTTCACGACTCCATTGCACCATTCCTGACAGCCAGAGTCTTCCTAATTCGTCCCTCAGCAGGAGAGACAGATAGAGGGTGTCTGAAGCTACATGCTGAATAGGAGATTACAGGTAGTGCATCATTAAAAAGAGATAAATCTTCACTCAGTGGCTTCACTCTCAATGACTTTAATCTCCTATCTGATCAAAAAACTGAGTCCGCTTAATCACAACCTGTGGCTATCCGCTCAACAACAGCCTGCGTGGTCTGGAGTCCTGATTGAAAAGACTGTAAAATGACCTGGTGTTTTAATTCAGTTCGCCGCGGTGTCATGGGAGGGTGCTTCATTCAGCAGTTTACTGCACCGCAACTATTTTAAGCACTGATAAAATGAGTTCATACTTATTTGGCCTGAAAAGGAAGATTTTTAGTCTTTGGGCAGGGTAAGAATCGGCTAAAAAAGGGATATCATAATCTTTTCTTGGATGGGCCACCGGGGCACTTGTTTATGTATTTATTCTTAGCCACCTATTATGTAACACCAAATAAATTGTGTAACGTGCACAAATCCATTAATAAAGCTCATAGGAATGAGGGATTTGGGCAATTGTGACCGCCTGCTATCAAAAGAGATTGCTGTGAAAAATACGCTGATAATGAGGCATTTAAATCCACGAACAAATACAGTGCTAAATAGCCAATGTGCAGAGCAAGTTTGTATTATATATCAGGTTTGTAGTTTGTAGTATGATAAAGGGTTCACTATGATGACCACAACAGCCCATAATGACCACCAACTGACACATTTCACCACTTTGTGGCCTTTAGAAACCATGTACTGTGAGTGGACAAAAAAACGAAGGTTCCTAAATGGTTCTTAGCGTTAATCGATATAGAAGTTACATTATGAAGAACTTAAAAAAAGACCTTCTTGCTCTGCCTCCCCATCACCGCCCCCCGCTCCACATCTCAGCAGCGGTGCTCCGGTTGCAGGGCTCGGGACTTGCGCGCTGTCCCCCCCCCCACTCCCTCGTGGATTTCCTCTTTTCCCTGCTGTCTTTGCTGGGTTTTGTCTGGGCTCAGAGTTTGGGCCCCATCTTCCTGCCGGCTCTCGTGGCCATTATCGGGGCCCAGGGGATGGGCGGGATGGGTGCATGCCACAGAAGTATTCAACTAAGGGTTCTTTCGGGCAGTGGTTCTTACACCAATCCTCAGGGCCTTCCAGATGGTCTACCTTTTTGCTCTATACACAAAGGGTTAGAAGTAGGGCAGTAAAAATCATTTTTTTAATCAACATTTAATGTTTATCCAATCCAATAAAAAAAAACCCAGGTTAGAAAATGCCCATTCAAATGTTTAAAGCTAGCTCTGTCATATTTACTACTATGTTCCATGCCAATTAGTAACATTATCACAAATGGTGACTACTGAACCAAAGGAAAAGCATGTCATTGCTGACCATAGGCCATAGGTTTTAAACAGAGTGCTCAGTTGTATTGGGACTGCTATGTTGACATTCTGCAGGAGGGTTGAAGTAAAGTTTTCCCATATACTTTACTGATTAGCAAAGCCTAGATCTGCTAAAACATCCCTTTTTCTCTTTTATGGTGTCTTTTCTTTTATGTACAGTGTTCAGAGAGTTGGACCCCCACTTGATGGTGGCTTAACTCTGATTAGGGTATTACAAGCGACAGGGACACTAGGTTAAATATTGATGCAGCGAGGAACGCTGCACGTTGTCGGGGATTATGATTTATTACAGAGAGATAAGAAGCGAGGGACACAATCCGGATGTCTCCTCACTCGCGACGTTAGCGTTGAGGCTTGAACCTCTTCTGCTTCCATCAGCTGTGAAAGTGTTCTGCATACTAAATCCCCACAGATCCATTCGAGAGTTCTGAGTCACGTCTTGATAGCCTTCACCAAGTGCGAACGAGGGGCGTCTTCTGGGGACCGAGCAAACAGAACGAATGTCATAATTCATAGCAATAGTTGCCAACCAGCCTCTTTTGCATTCTTTCATTCTTGAAGGCCTCAGCAGTCCTCACTTCATCTGTGCCTGTTTCAGTTTGCGGTATGAATAATGTAACGTTCAAGCTGGAGTGTAGATTTGTTGACACAACGGTTGAGGAGCAGTTTCAGACTCTCAGCCAGGCTGATGAGGGAAAACGTGTCAGATGTTCTTCACTTTGTGAGCCTTTTGTGCCTTAATGTTCTTATTCATTCATCTAGAAGAATGTCAGACTCACAGCTGTGATGAGAACATGAACATAGTCATGTGATCAGTGGATGCTATATATATATATATGTGTGTGTGTGTGTACAATTATAGACCATAACTCATCTGCTGCTGCACTGCTGATGCAGTCCTTACCTTGTTCATTACTGGACAGTTTCTGACCACAGGGCCACTGTTGACCAGATATTATTTGGGTGGTGGACTGACATGGTAGCAATATGTGTATGGTATGAGTGTATAAGGCGCAGTGTTGTTGCTGGACACATCAGTGTCACAGTTGAGAGTGGTCCACCACCCCAAACCAACCAACCTGGAATGGCTCTGTGGTCAGAAGCTAACCACTGATGAAGGACTAGAGGATGGCTAATGCTGTGTATCAACAGATGAGCTATAGTGCTACTCTAACTGTACATCAGCAAGGTGGTACTACAAAGTAGGAGTTTCTAATAAAGTGGTCAGTGAGTATATCTATATCTATTATAATGGAAAAAAGAGGTTTAGGCAAATTTCAGAAGTGAAATGCATTTTATATACAACCCAATTATAATAACTTATGAGTTCTATTTGTGAGCTATAAGTAAAGTGAGAAACCTTTTCAACTAAAGGAAAGTTCCTTTAGCCATTGAGCCATGACAATCATGGCATGGTTCAGCATGTGTTTGTGACTGCCTTAGGAAAACATTATAATGCACTTGAGGAGCTGGGGCTGAATTTCTTTGGCACTGACGATGTAATGTGATATGGACACCATTTTTTAATCATTTTGTTAATTTATAATACACAACAAATATGGTTGTGTTTATAGTGCTTTATGAATGCATCAAGACATGTTATGAATGTGTTTTGTAGTTTCTTGTAAATCTAGTATTCATAGAAAGCCTTACTGTAAATACATCCTTAAATTCTGTCCTCTTTTTGATCTTCTCCATCTCTCTATGCAGGAACACCATGAAGTCTGACGGCAACCTGCATCAGGATTCCTTCCACAATATGCAAGCCTCACACTCTTCTCGGTCATGGGGAGGCCACTTGGACCAGGGCTCCTCAAAGAACCTTTGCTCTACCGTCCCTGGAAAGTGTTCTCCTGTTCCATACCGGCCATGCTCCATCCCCATCATCCCCTCCGTCCACTCGCACCAAGACGAGGCTTCCTGTATGCAGACGGCCACCACGAACGGAAGTGGACAGAGTTCTACGCCCCAAGAGAAAGAGGCCGCCCATCTGCTTGAGGAGGCGCAGGAGCAGCTCCGAGCGCTGGCCCATTCCAACAAGAAGCAGGAGGACGGCATTTTCCCCGTCCCACAAGGTGCCAGAGAGACAGTTTGCATTCTTCTCACCAACGGAGGGGGAAATGGAGGCTTGCCCCCCAGCGGACCCACAGAGACTCAATTAGTGGACCCCAGAGATACACATAAAGACTCTCAACAGCCCAGTCAATGAGAGGGTCGTACATGGACCAATCGCCAAACACACCTTGCATCTCCAGAGCAAGGCCGCAGAATGTCCGGCCAAAATGAATGAGTGAATGAATGAATGGAATTCTGTGGATGAAGAGTGTAAAACACTTTGAAAGCCTAATATGGGGTTTATGAAAACATGGGGGAGTGACAGTCTCGAAATTCAAAAATCAAAAGATTATTATTTATATGCATTTATTAAAGGAGAAGCTTCTACTTAGAAAAAATACCAAATAGTCTGTCATCTCTATGGTGTTTTTAATTGTATAAAATATACATAGATCTATATAAATGGCTATAAATATATCGAAATTAAAAATGGTGACCAAGTACGCGAAAAAAAGGAAAATGGGAATGATTCTGAACTTTTTCTTTTTGTACTGACTCCTCCATGTCTTGCAGGCTTGGACCGTTTATTATTCTTCTTATTTTTTTGCACCTCCATCTTGGAAATTAAGCTAAGGCTCCAACAGTTTACCGGCACATCTTAACCACCGTCCCTGACTTACCCTGCCAAGGAACATGTTTCATTCTGCCTTGGAAACAGTGCACCACTTTCACATATGGACACAGGATATGACAGAACTTAAACAAACAAATGAGACATAGAATCTGACAGTGGAACACTGCCTCAAGACTTCAGGAGGAACAGACAGATCTGTCGCTCAGTTTTATGGAGTAGTATGCTGTCCAGGTTCTGTTTTTTTTCTTTCGTTTTTTTCTGTTTTTTTCTTTTTTTTGTACTTGAGTGTGTTTTCTCCTCTGTCAGTATGGATGGGAGCGATGTGTCATACGAAGAACAGCAGCCTGGGCAGGTCCATCCATCTGGAGATTGAACTTCTGACGGAGTATAAAGTATCAACCCCCCGAAAGCCAGGGGGCACCCTTTCCGCCGCGGAAAGAAGAGGAGGAGCTTCTGTGTTTTCCTTTTCGTTCGTTTCTGGTGAATGATCTGCTGCTTTCCAAGGGGGGGAGGGGCTAATGGGAAGGAACAGTGGCTAACAAACAAAAGAAAAATGACAAAAACTACAAAAAAAAAAAAAATGATAATTTTGTGTGGTACTTTCGGATTGGGACGAACAATTTCTGTTTGAATTTACAACCAAATGTGGAAGAAAAAAAAAAAGAAAAAAACTAACAATGAATCTTTTTGGTGAAGCTACTTCTCTTCGTTTGTTTACTATGGTTCTTGGGCCCCAGATTTCACGAATTTGTGCATGTTGATATTTGTTTTGCAGAGTCGCATCACAAAGGTCTGCAGTTCTCGGGTTTCGCTCACAGAACTCGAAGTCACGACTGGGATAAAACTAGCACCCTCACAGCCTGGTTGACAGAAATACAATGCAGAGAAGGGGTAGGGAGGGAGAATGTTCTTTGGTGACAGAATTCAATGAGATATTGACATTACATGGCAGCCTCCATAGCACTGTGCGGTTCATTTTAGTCAACTGCCTTCAGCTACAGCACTAAAGTAAGTGAAAAGGTGGTAAAAACAACTCCAACAGTTGATTAGCTTGGAAAAACAGCTAACAGACATTTATGTGAGCGTATTAATGTCCGGAGGAACGTGGGTCCTCCAGCTTGTGTTTGTTTGTCTGACAGATGGAAGCAGAAAATGCCAAACGGTCCAGCAAATGTTGAACGGTCCAAAGTTCAAGGGTCTTGCTTAAACTGAAAACTGTAAGGGTGGACAACGACTGCGTCATATCTAGCCATGTGCCTGTTTGCGTTTGTGTGCCTATTTTTATTCATTTGTCTATTTTTATAATGTAATTTAAGCTTATTGTGCTGGGAGAAAAAAAAACAATCCCGATTATGTTGTAAATCTTTTTCCGTGCATCCATAGGCATCCAAACCAGTCCAGTGGTTTGATCAGTCCGGTCGGTCTACACATACAGGCTTTTATATCTTGAGGTTTCCCCTGCAGCTATTTGTATATCTGCTAAGAAATAAATTGGGACAATAGATGCTCTGTTGCACATGCAAGCTGATGTTTGTGAAGTCAGGACACACCCTGAGTCAGTAGCTGATCAGTCATGTAATCAGTCATTGGTGTGATTAAAATAGGGAAAATAGAAAGGAAATAACTAAAACTAAAGCAAGAAATGAAATAAACCACAATTCTTATCATGATAAAACACAATAACAATGACAAATATAGTCTATTAAACTTTGACAAACTTTCATGTTTTTTTTTCTACCATGATCTGAAATAGACTAGCATGTCTAGTGCATGCTACTGAACTGCCAATCCACTTGAAGAAAGCATGTTGCAAACAACAACAACAACAACAACAACGTGGACAAAAAAGCGCTAAGTTAGTTAAGTTACCCTTATTAGTCCTACAACGAGGAAATTTCACCTCCACAATTTAACCCATCCATCAGTGAAACACCACATACACACTAGTGAATACACACACACTAGGGGGCAGTGAGCACACTTGACCAGAATGGAGGGCAGCCCTAACCACAGCGCCAGGGGAGCAGTTGGGACTAGGCACCTTGCTCAAGGGCACTTCAGTCAGTCAACTCATAACTTACAGGAAGAGGCCGAGCCGAGGCAAGAGCAAAAGACGAGATTAGGTTGTTAGACTTCTGATCAAAATCAAAACATTTTGATATATTTTTTTGATTGAAATATTTTTGATACAAATATTACGCTTATCTCTTCCTAAATCCAGTATTAGCAATTATAGAAAGGCTCTGAAAAGTGAGTTTGAGGAAGACGTCTCAGAACAAGAGGAGATTCTGGCAGAGAATGACCACACATCCACTGCAGCAGCTTCAGTCTTTAGGTTTGTTTTTAGTGGGGTAGAGTTAAACAGTGTTTAAAGATGTTTCTAACTGAATGTTGGCCTACTAAAAGCACAGTGTCCTCAAAGTGTAGATTTTTCTATTAATGTTTTCCATTTTACTTACTTAAAAAAAGTTATATTACACCAGAATAAGCCAGAATAATATTTTCTTTAGGCTTCAAAAGACTATTCAAACTAAAAATTGAGCCTAATATTTCTAGATTATCATTGATATTGAATGAAATGCTAAAATATGTTGTAATAAGATGTTGGCCATATTACCGAATACCATTCTTTTATTTTACTTGCTTATTTATTTATTTGTTTGTTTGTGCATGATTTGTTTCTCTTATTGGAGTATCCTAGTCAGTACCCAACACAATCAAACATCACTTCCCATCCAGAACCGAACAAAAATGTAATTTATTGGAAATTAATATTCTATTGACCTTTTGGCAAACCCTGAAAATAACTCATATCTTTCATTTTCATAGGGGATGGTTATTTGGTATGAAGACATGACCACTAAAACCTCTCAAGACTGCATAAATTCATAATGGCAAAAACAAGCTTTTGTGCAGCTGCTTCCTGCATCTTCTTGCATGCTTTTAAAGCGCAAGCTCTTTTACATTTCCTCCAGAGTTCAGACTCAGTGTGTAGTGTAGGTTAAAACAGGCATGCCTTAAAATGCACTAGATAATCACAGTCTTAATTGATGACCCACCATGGAGGCTCAGTTAGCATGCTGCTAGTTCATATTTCATTTGCAAACCTGCTATTATGGCCATTATCTGGCTATAAACAAGAGATTTATGATAATAGCATCTTTTTTTTTCATTTAGGATGTTTTCACACATGCACAGAGTCGAACCAGACATTGTTGAAAGTTCTGTGCTGTGATTTTATCTTCGTGCCACCTTGAAAATTATGATTAGCTTAGATATGGTAGAGAAGTTCCTTCAACATGACATATATCATTTTAATACTTCAAATCTTCTCAAGATAAGCTATCTTCAGACAAAACAGTCAGCCAAATGGATGGTGTGGATTTTAACCAGTCCACCTATGGTCTTTCAAATTCAGATAAAAACTGAAGGAGAAAGTGCAAGAAAAAAGAGAAAGAGAAAACAAAAATTCCCCAATTTTGAGACCTTTTTGAAGACAAACTGAAAATTATCTCACCATTATCCACTCACACGTTTGAAGAGGCTGTAGCATACATGAACACTTATAAATAAAAATGACGTTTTTGTTGAGTAGTGATTGTGGATCAAACAGGCAATTCCAGTTGCAGGCAGGAAAACCTGGGTTTGAAGTTTCATGCAGGTGTGAAAATGTTTCTAAATTACACAAAAATTATGTCCATGGAGAGCAACAGGGTTTTTGTCACTGAGCCCTGTTGCTTGATTTTATAAAAAGAAATTAAGGTCTGGTTATGGTCTTTAATAAATTCATTTGGAATTATCAGATTCACATGGTATGATGGCATTGATCATCCCATGAAACCTGCATGACTGCAAGAGGCCAAACCAAGCGCACCATCCACAAACTGCTCTTTTACTCAGAAAAGTAATTTGTGTTGGGTTTACAGACCTTGAATGCACAATGTCCTGCTAGTTTTTGCACATTGTTTTTAAACATTGTTTCATACCCCACAATGAAGGTTGTATTTAATATATTTGTCCTTAGAAAGAGCAATACTGCCAATTTCTCTGGCAAGAACCTGTAAGAAATACCTCCAAAAGGCCCTCGTGATTAGCAGTGACATAATAAATGTTAAGATGCATATTGGATGGAATGTTAATACATGTTGATTTTAGTACTTCAGTTTACAATGTAAATGCTGCATCTCTATCCAGACTTCACATTGGAATTTTGGCAGGTAAGGCATCTTGAAGTGTGGGGAGGACACTGAATTAATAGGTAGTTTATGAAGCCAGCTAGTTAGATCCATTTACATGTAATCTGAAGAGCTAAACACAGTTGGATCAAGGGTGCAACTGGATACAGTACTGTGCAAAAGTCAGACAAAACCCAACTTTATGTAACCTCTTAATTGATTAATTGAATATAAGCCTAAGTATGTAATAAGTGTGGGATATTAAGGGGTTAATTTACAGTCTATTCATTTTCAGGGTTAGAAAAAGGAGAAAACCTAATACAGAAAGTTTTACAGAAGTCTTAACAACTAAATGTAAATATATTGTCATTTTTCAGAATTTTATATGTGTCCACGATGTACCTTTATTACAGCTTAAATTATTTTCAGGA